AAGGTACCCAAGTTCAATCCCCGATACAAAAAAGAAAAGCTCACCCAGTCTTTTCCATATTGCTGATTTAATGGAGGAACAAGCCCAGCTAGCAAACCAGGATAGTCTTACCTTCCATATATTTTTGTTGCTTCCTCATTTGACTTCTTCCCTATTGTTTGTATTTCCTGTTATCTAGAAAATAAATCTTAAATCCTGGCAGAACCATATTAAACAGTTTTGGTTGCAATACATGATGTTGTGTATTATTACAACTTAATCAAGAGATATAATATCTATCTTCATCACCATTAATGAGACTGAAGTTGAATATTGATATGGGGTAATGTACTGATCCCTTCACATAGAGTTTCCTCTCCTTTATAGAAAATGTTTGATGTTATTTTTTATGCATTATGAATCCCTAAGTCATAGCAACCATACACCTGAATAACACTTGCCTGAATCAGTAATTTCATGAAGAATTGCATTATTCTGATTTTCCAGTTTTTTTCTTTTTCTGTATTATTAGGTAGCCTCCTATAAAAATAGAGTACTTTATTGACTGGGGCTGTTGGTTTGTTCTGAAATGTAATTGTTTCTTCAGAGCCAGGACAAATGAGTAAATTTTGTCGATTTTTACCAGTTCAGAAGATTGCCCCCACTTTTGTCTGGTTTTCTCCTTTTTTGAATATCATTGTGGACTTGGTTATTATTGATTCATTGTGTTTTAGTCAGCTTCAGACATAATCCTTACAATTTTGACAATAGGGAAGGGGACTGTTCAGACTGACTCCTGTGTTTCTTTGCTTGACAACCATATTTTTAAATTATGGAAATCCTTAAACATAAAAAATGAATTTAGTGAACCTCCAGTATACCTGTCAGTGAGATTTAATAGTTTTCAGTACTTTCCAATTTTATTCTATTCCACAGCTCTGTTGACCCCTAGATTGTGACTCCATTGGTATTTGAAAGCTTCTTTGTTGTCTAGGGTGGAAAGGTTTCCCAGCCCTACACCCGGCAGCATCCATTTCTCTTAGAAGCCCTGATTGCCTTTATAAGGAAAGATAGCAGATACAAGTCTTGACATAGGGTTATGGGAAGTTTTGGTGGATGGGTTGTGTAGGTACTGGGGATTGAACCCGGGCCTTCATACTGAGCTGTATTTCCAGGCTTCTTTTTTTTTTTTTTTCTTTTTTTTTGAGAGGAGATTTCACTAAGTTTCCCAGGCTGGCCTCGAATTTGGGATTGTCTGCTTCAGGCTCCCAGAGTGCTGGGATTACAGGTGTGCACCAGCATGCCTTCTTAAAAGTTTTTTAATTTGACTTTTCTTCACTTTCCCATCATGTGCCTCCTCATAAAGGTAGCCTGGTAAGCACAGTTACTCTCAAGTACTAGAGGAATTGTACTTCTCAAGGGTGGAACTAGGAGGTTTTTATTTTTATTTTAATTGGTCAAAATGTTAGGCATAGCTTACTGATTATTCAAATGTTGACACGTCAGTATTTTTGGTAAAGGATTTTTTAAAAAAATATAATTTTGAAATATTACCTTGCCTCTATAAGGAAATCCTCAGTGGGTAAATATATGACCTATATTTGTACCACATTTTGGTTTTTTAGCATTTAACACATTTTCTCATAATAATAATGCAAATGATAAAACATTGTAGATTGAATATTGCTAATCCAAAAATCAAAAATCGTAAATGCCCCAAAATTTGAAATTTTTTGAACAATAACTTGATGCCACAAATGGAAATTTGATGCCCTGAAACTGTTTCATGCACAGAAGTATTAAAAATATTGTATATGATTACCTCTAGGCTTTTTGTATGAAACATAAACAAATTAGTTAGATTAGGTCTCATTCCCAAAATACCTCATTTATACGTGTGCAGATATGTCAAAATCTGAAGAAATCTAAAAGTGTTTTAGATACCCAGCCAATATTGGGTTTCTATGTATGTTTTTTTTTTCTCTTTTTTTTTTCTTTGAAACAAGGTTTTCCTATGTAGTTCAGACTGGCTTTGAACTATGTAGCCCACCCTGGCCTCACAATCACAATGATCCTCCTGCCTCAGCCTCCCGAGTGCTGGGATTACAAGTGTGCACCACCATACCTGGACTATATATGATTTTCAAGATGGACTGAACCCAAATTGGTTCCTTTCCCTCCTAATGCCCATTCAAATGAAACATACAGAAATGAGAAATGAAGAAATCAATAACAATAAATAGGAGGACTACCAAAGGATGACAGTTAGACAGATTTCTGGACCTTTGTTTGGGAGCCAGAAGGCCCTCTCTCACATCACCGTATCTGTTTCTTTCATCCTTCCACTTGGACTATAGGTAGCTGGCATGAATCCCAGGCAAAACACCAGGCAGGTTTTCTTTAGAAAAATTGGAAAAGGTTAAGGCTTCTAAAGTACATGTTCTGTTCCCAGAACAAAAGAGAAAAAGCCGTCTTCTTTCTGGCATTTAGACCCACTGCCTCCCCACCCACTCCCCCTGGAGCACTGCCGTCAGCCTGTGTCAGCCTACACACAGCACGAGCTCTCCCTGTCATCCCCCTGAGAGTGCACCACCCAGGAAATAGGAGATCCAAGTTGCCTCATGAGTCACTTGTGAATTGCCTTGGATTTGAGTGAGCAGCCCAAAAATCACCAGGCAAGTGAGGGGCTAATGGCAGGAACAGGAGACCAAATGCCCAGAAAAATAACATTGCCAATGGAAAAAAAAAACAAAAAAAAAAACACTCTCGGAGAGAACTTTATTTTAAAAAAAGAACTCAGGGACACAAGATAATGCCACACCCGTTAAACACAAGTAGGAGGACACAGGCTGTCAGCTTGAAAGAGCACACCATGTGCAGAAATGAGAGAATCCAATGACATACCGTGACACAGCCTCTCAAAAGGGCAGAATCTGTAAGATAAAAGATTCAAAAGTCATGCACATACCATACCAGACGGAGATCAAAACCTTAAGGCCTTAAGACAGTAAAGCTTGAGAAAAAACAAACACACTCTGGGAAAAAAATATCCAACCAAAGAATCTGTATCCTGCCATGCTACTTAAGGATGAATGCAGAATAAAGTTGTTTTCAAACAGTCAGTGGCTCAGAGTTGACCTTCTCTTGGCATTAAAAGAAATGAGTGAATTTCACTTCCCCAGAAACTTTCTTAAGGAACAGAGAAATCCACCATTTTGCCAGACACAATGGGGCATGCCTGTGATAACAGCAGCTCAGAAGCTTAAGACAGAAGGTTGGCAGGTTCAAGACCAGCCTGGACAACTCAGACTTTGTCTCAAATAAAAATAAAAAGGGGCTGAGGAGTGTAGCTCAATGATAGAGCACTTGCCTAGGATGCATAAGGCCCAGAGGGAGGGAGAAATTCAGCATGTAACGTTTCATTAAATATTTTCATTTGAAGCTGATGTGGTGGCGCATGCCTGTAATCCCCTCACTCCAGAGGCTGAGGCAGGAGGATCGCTGAGAGTTTGAGGCCAGCCTGGGCTACATAGTGAGTTCAAGGCCAGCATAAAGTACATAGCAAGACCCTGCCTCAAAAAAAAACAAAAATATTTTTGTCATTTGAGGTTTGTATTTTTATCTCATTACTGTCAAAAATGTTTATTGTAGGGAGAATAAGAAGGGATTGCATACAATACAGTAAGTAGCTATAGATTCACACCATACAGTAAATTATAGAGAGAGTGTGACCAATATCAACTGGATTGCTCCCTTTACTCGGCAGGGTTGAAACCTGCCATACGCTGCCCAGGTAACTGATATAATTTCTCATGATTCCCAGCAACCCCTGCCCTGTGATCATAGCCACCTGACACACCCTGTGGCTGGCAAGGTCAGCAGATTCTCTCATCAGGACTGAAATGACATCATGTGACTTAAAAGTGTCATTCTGATTGCTGTGTTGAGATTAGACTTAGAGGTGGAGTAGTAAGGCAAAGGTAGAGGCGGGGCAGAGGGCAGCTATCACGACATGATTCCAGCTTAGTGACTGTGGCTCCAACATGGTGGTCACAGTGGAGTCCATGAAGAGAGCTCAGATTCCAGGTATAATCTGAGGGTGGAGCTGACAAGATTTCCTGACTGGATGAGGGTGAGCAAGAGAGGAGTCAGGGTTTTTTGCATGAGCAGTAGGAAGGGAGGAATGGTTGAGGGAAAAGAGTAGGAGGGAAGTTGGTGTTTTTCAGAGATCCGTTTGACCCCAGTAAAGATGTCAGTAACTTGGAGATATATATGTTTCTGCAATTCCAGAGAAAGGTCTGGCCTGGGGATAGAATGTGGGGCTAGTCAGAATATAAACTGTATTTAACAAGACCACTCGGAAATGAATGAGAAAGACCCGAGAATGGAACACTAAGGAGTATTGCAGCGTTTCAGGAGCAGGGAGATGGGAAGGAAGGTTCAGGGAAGGGAGCAGCCTGTGTGTGGCAGGAGAACCATGAGAGCATGGTTCCCCAGAAACCAGGGGAAGAAAGTTTCAGGAACAGTTCATCACCGGTGCCGTGCTGCTGAGGTCACGTAGTGTGAGCACTAAAACTCTCAGTCGGGTTTGGCAACATGAGTGTCAGTGTTTTTCCTTGAAAAGGTCTGTGTGGCTTTTTCCAGGCAGCTACTAAGGTGTTAGGACATAAACCCTTAAATTACTTGGTCTTAACTACTTTAAAAGGAAACAATAAGACACTTCTTTTGGCTTAGAGGGGCATTATAAAAAGTACCGGTGTACCAAGAGAGTGCAGACTAAGAAAATGTGGTCTCTGCTTTAGAAGATTATGCTACCTGAGCATTTTATTGAAAGGTAGAACACATCTTTTCTTTGTTCACGCTGAATGGTGGAGTTAGTAATTTTAAATCTGATAAGATTACAAGCATTTAATAAAATTGAGCTAATATTAATATGGTTGTTGAATAAAATTGAAGAAAGCCTTACCCTATGCAATGTCAGTAATACATCTTTGTATTAATTTTTCTTCTTGCCTCCATAGGTATGGTCTGAATATGCGTTGCTTGGCAGCCCGGGTCAACTATAAGACTTTGATTGTCATCTGTGCATTCTTCACTTTGGTCACAGTACTTTTGTGGAATAAGTGTTCCAGTGATAAAGCGATCCAGTTCCCACGACATTTGAATAGTGGCTTCCGAGTGGACGGATTAGATAAAAGAGCAGCAGCATCCGAGAGTAACCACTACGTGAACCATGGGCCCAGACAGCAGTCTGAGGAGGCCTTTCCCCAGGAGCAGCAGAAAGCGCCCCCTGTCGTCGGGGGTTTCAATAGCAATAGGGGAAGTAAAGTGTTAGGGCTCAAATACGAGGAAATTGACTGTCTCATAAATGATGAACACACAATTAAAGGGAGACGAGAGGGAAATGAAGTCTTTCTTCCATTCACATGGGTAGAGAAATACTTTGACGTTTATGGAAAGGTGGCTCAGTATGATGGCTATGAGCGGTTTGAATTCTCTCACAGCTATTCCAAAGTCTATGCACAGAGAGCCCCCTATCACCCCGATGGTGTGTTCATGTCTTTTGAAGGCTACAACGTGGAAGTCCGAGACAGAGTCAAGTGCATAAGTGGGGTTGAAGGTTAGTATCTGTCTGCTCCACTTGCATGTTTCTAGCCTGCTTGTGTTGAGGACTAAGAAGCTGTCACTACCAATTACACAACAGGTACACAGGTAATGCCAGAAGACCTTTCAGGGCAGAGCCCTGAAAGGAGGAATAGGTTAGATCTGAACCTAGGACAGCTTTCTGGGTGGTATGACTTAAGAGTCACAGTAACACTGTGCTTGAATAAATAGGATTTTTCCATTACCCTGCCTCAGAATCTGGAGTTCTCACTACTGAGGGCAAGGCACAGCATTTCCACAAGTCTTGCTTGTAAATGTACAGTTAGCTGTTAGGGTTGGAATTTGAAATGTCCCCCTACAGCTCTTGTCCTTAAGGCTTGGTCCCCAGTGCAATAGCATCCAGAGATTGGGCCTTTGTGGGGTGAGGAGACCATGAGGCCTCCAGCCTCATTGATGGACCCATCATGTAATGGGCTTCAGGAGGCAAGGCCTGGTTGGTGGAAGTGGGTCATGTGTCTGTACCCTTGAAGGGCATATTTTGTCCCTGGCCCCTTCTCGCGTTCTCCACTCTGCTTCCCGGCTGCCATGAGGTAAGCAGCTTGGCTTCACCATGCCCTCTGCCTTGATGTGCTGCCCACAGCAGTGGAGCCAGCCAGCCTGCCATGGACTGAAACCTCTGAAACCATGAGCCAAAGTAAGTCTTTCCTCATTTAAGTTGATTTCCTCAGGCATTAGGTCACAGTGACAAAGAGCTAACACATTACCCTTGTAGAGGCGAAGGGAAAGGTATAGAGACCACACTGAACAGTTAATGTCCCAGCGCTCTCTTGTTCCCTGGTAGATGAGTGTCATCCCTGGGACAGGATTTCTAGTCCTCAGGACAGGCAAAATGTAGGCACTTTTTTCTGAACTTATACCACCCTCCTATAGTCTATACATACTGTCTTTCATTATCTTTGAAAACCTGAGACATTTGGAGCTTCTTGTGGATATAGTTAGTATACTTTGGAATTTGCTTTTCAAACATAGGATTGACCAGGAAAAAAAAATTAAATTTGCCTTTAAAAGACATCAATTAAACCAGGGAAATTATTTCATTTTTCTTATTTTGTTATCAAGTGATTTTAATTTCAATTTCATTTTAATACTAAGCTTGATTTAATATTTATTTATAAAATCCATGTCAAAACAAGCTTTCTGTTAATTATATATTTTCCCTTTGGAATAAAGTTTGCTTACCTCACCAGGTAAATGTGGCTGTTTTCAGACTCCCCCAGGTCCAAGGTATACAGCGTGTGTCTGAAGTTAGCTATGTTTATGCATTGGAAAACTGAAGTCTGTATATTCTGATGCAGGGTTTCCCCTTTGTTTTTATTATTTATACAGATTTTTAAACATTTATGAAATGTTTAGAAGGGGGAAGGGGACAAATTCACTTATATTCTCTCTTCCTCAAGATAATTATTACCATTTTTGTATTTTCCTTATCCTGCTTTTAACACTATTTCCCACACAAGGACTTGGGAGAGTGCAGTGGTACCTCACTTTATAAATTTAATTTGTCTTAAAATTTTGGGGAAGATGACTGCATTTGTGTTTGTGTGGGGAAGACGGCCATCCATAGTCATGTTTGTCACCCAATGTGGAATTTGCAAACAGAAGCAAAATTTTGCTGAACACTTTCATTTGCAAACCAAATTGCTTGCAAACAAGCGTTCATGAACCGAGGTTTGGTAGTAGTTTGGTAGAGACTTCAGCTATCCCCATGGCTAGACATCCCAGGTGGCATGGGGCCTGCCATGAGAGGGAGCAGTCACAGGGTGAGACAGTGCCAGGGCACAGGGACAGCCGGTCTTCCTTTTATAACAACCCTTTGAGAGAACTGACCGAGATCCCAGGAGAGTTGCACTAACTCCTTCTGGGAGAATCCCGCCTTAAAGATTCCCTCACCTCCCACACCAGCATGGTGGGGACCACTCTTCCAACACACGAGGCATTGGAGGATAGGCTTACACCATACCAGAACCATGGCTGTCCCTAGTTCCTTGAAGTTGCATTAAACCACCTATAATTTTGTAGATCCCATTCTCCATTGTGCCTATCAGTTACTTGTTAATTCTATGTAGAACTACAATAAGAGTTCATCCCTCAAAGCAGACAACATGATTCAGCAGTCCACTACTCTGTGCAGCTCAGTGATGTAAGTCCCAAGTAGGAAATTACTAAAACAGTAATACCAGACCCTGAAATTTTTGCTTTTCATCTTCAGATAATCCATTAATGGATTATGAATCTATGGTCAAATGTAAAACTTTAATTCAATTTTTTTAAAAAACACTCCTTGTTCATAAGGTTTTGTTTTGGGTTGTTTTTGTTTTTGTGAGACAGGGTCTCACTGTGTAGTTCAGGCTGGCCTTAAATTCACTATGTGGACCAAGCTGGCCTTGAACCCATGGCAGTCGTCCTGCCTCAGCCTCCAGAGTGCTGGCATTACAGGCATTTGCCACTATATCTATCCAAGAACTAAATTTTGATAGAAAGGATATGAAAAAGAATTTCAAACTATATTTATATTTTAGGTTGACTGGGTATAACTGTTGACTTAAGCAAATATTTTAACCGTCAAATGCTATACTTCATTATTAGATCATACCTTGACCTTGGAGGGAGAGTCAGGTAAGTAGTTACCATGATTGTTAAGTACAAATGTTAAAGAAAAATTCAGGATTAATATTTAGACTAAAACGTGACCTGTATGTGCTTCTAAATTATACAAAATTTAAGTCTATGAAAGAGGACTATGAAAGAACTATAACTAATAGTAACAGTAACATACATAGAGAATCTATGAAAGGTAATTTATAACGTGGCATTGCTCTGAACAAATGATGAGAACGAGTGAATACCTAACCTCTGGTTAATTTGGTAATAATTTCTAGCTCAGAAGTTGCTGGTAACCCTAAAACTCAGTAGTAAAATTGTAAGAAGTAGTATTCAGATGAGGCTTGTAAATGTCTGAGTAGGACTATTTGTTTTGTTTTTGTTTTTATAGGTGTGCCATTATCTACACAATGGGGACCTCAAGGCTATTTCTACCCAATCCAGATTGCACAGTATGGGTTAAGTCATTACAGCAAAAATCTGACTGAGAAACCCCCTCATATCGAGGTGTATGAAACAGCAGAAGACAGGGACAAAAACAGCAAAACTAATGACTGGACTGTGCCCAAGGGCTGTTTTATGGCCAGTGTGGCTGATAAGTCTAGATTCACCAATGTTAAGCAGTTCATTGCCCCAGGTAAGTAATATACCATATGTGGCTACTAATTTTCTGTTGATTTATGGCATCTGATACTCCCTTAAAATTTTAATACAGTTTTTAAAAACATGTTAACAGACCATTTATTTTATATTCATAATAAATGGTGTCACCCAAGTGAAATCCCTAAAGAAGAAACAGCTAAAAGATGAAGGTTGTAAAAAGGGAGAAAACAGGAGTCTTTACTGTGTGAAGAGCCTCACTTTAGATTGAATCTTATGATCCAGGTTACTGAGTGAGGGATCCATATCCCAAAGGAGTAAGTCCATGGTTTTTGTCTTGTTTTGTTTTGCAGTGCTGGGGATCAAACTCAAGGCAATGCATATGTGAGGCAGGTATTCTACCATTGCCCCCAGCTCTGTTTATTGTCATATTTCAGCACAGGATACAGTCATACTTTGGTACTCTGCTGATTTGAAACTTGTCAAATTTGGAGATCAGACGAGAGAGGTAGGGTGCATTTAGGGTGGTATATCCATAGACTCAAATTTGGTACTGTAAACATTTTGACAAAAACTTTGTCCCAGCACTTTTATTTTATTTTGTTTTATTTTCTTTGGTACTCATGATCTTTGGTACTGGTCATGCCTCTCAGAACCATAGACAGGTCCCGAGGTACCATTGTAGTTAATGTTTAATGTTTAATGTTCTGCACCAAAGTAGAACATTTTTTATGGAGAGCTATCCTTTTCTTTGCACATCTTATACCAAAAGCTTTTTACTTTTTCAAGAAAATGTAACATTAGCAAATAGGCCTGCTTGCATATTGAGTTTTGCTAATGTACTAAATTATCTCAAACTTCATATAAAACCATTTTCATTAATAAGATCATTTATAAAATCAAATTAACTTTATGCAACATTTCCCCTTTTACTGAGACAGTCTCATTAATTAGGATGTAATGTATTTTCTGTGCTGATCAGTAGCCATGAGAGTTAATGACTCCATTACTTAAAAAGACAGTGAAATCATCTTAGCACCTCAGGTTTAATTCTATTTGGGTGAAATGTTGTCGAGATCAGAACTCATCCCCTCCTCTCCGCCAACCCTACATTCAGTAAATAGAAAAGAAGAAAAGCTACAAGACCTTTTCTGTATTCTCTCCTTATCCTTCATTGATGGCTGTGTAACTTACAGACCTTGCAAACCACAATACAAATCTACTCATTTTAGATGGCTTTAAGTAAAGAATTTATGAGTTTTTAATGCAGTACAAATAATGGATGACCTTTAGTTTTTATTCTGTGACTAGAACTTCTTTTTCCCCCGTGGCATTCTGATATTCCAGTACATAGGGCATCTTTGCTTATTGTAAAACAACAGGCTTGGCTAGTGAGAAATTACAAGGAAACATTTAAGAATATTTAGCTTGTGATACCGAAGAGGTTATTGCAGCAGGAAATTGTTAACACCAAGCCAAAGAACTTTGAATTTTGGGTTCACCCAAAAAGCTTAGTTTATATTAATTAATATGTGGCCTAGATTAGGGTAGAAAATAGCAGCCCTCATCCTGATCTCCTCAAGTGGGAGAGGTTTTCTTAGAACAATCTTTTGGACACTGTCCTATTCAGAGCAGTGGTATTCATGGTAGACTCTTAGTTGCCCTGGGTTATACAGAAGATAGATTCCCACATCCTACATGAGAGATCCTCACGTTAGCCCTTCATTGAACTGTGGCCAGTAGCTGAAGAGAAAACTGCCTAAGATGGTTTGAAGCATAGAGAGGAGAGGCCTGTGTGGCAGCCCTTGGCCAGTGGGCCACACCTAACCAAGGTTGGATTTGTGTTGTAAGTGTGCTAGCCGGGAGAGGGCCACTTGCTTTGACATCCTGAGTGTGCTCATGTCACCTGCTACAAGGCAGGAGGGAGAATGGGCGGGAGTCCCCCGAGGTTTCCCTCCGCAGAGCAGGAGAGGGCATGAAGAGGCCAGGCTGCTTTACTGAAGCAGGCATGAAAGCTGAGGCTTTCAGAAAGTAGACTCCCTGGAGATGGGCTCAGGGCACCACTCTGAATTGCCAAAGAAATGAGGACGTGTGCATAAAAGCATGGGCTTAGTGAGGTGAGGCTCTGGAGGACCATGGGCTGAATGCTGTTGCCCTTTTATTCTTTTATTTCTTTGTGTTGAGTTTTTTTCCCTGAAAGGAAAAAAACTCATCTAAAGAACCATTATATGAGTCTGTAGCATATTTTTTTATTATTTTGTTAAATAATGTTTTCTCTTCCTGCTTGTAAGATTGAATGAATTAAAAAATTATGATGCTAGTCCTACTCTATTAGATTACATCAGCTTTCCTCTCCCAGAGCACTGTTTCCTTTCTGTGACCTTACTTCTCTGTCTAGCCGCTGTTCTTTCGAAGGCTCCTTGTGTGCTTCTCTTCTGCCTGCCGCGTCTCTGTTCTCTGCGAGGCTGAGTGCAGGCCTCCTCTCTCAGCAGCGTAGACTGTCACTTAGTGAGTGGGTGCTGACCATTTGTGTCACAGGTGAAAACACAGATTGAACGGCTTTTCTAGCTTTATTGAGATATAATCAACAAAATTTTATGTACAATTTTACGTACAATGCAGTGCTTTTATATATGTATTTTTTACTCATTAAGTTTATTGGTACGTTTTAGGTATACAATATGATGATGTTGATCATTGGGAATTTTTACCTGTACATAATCTATCTTGGTTCTTATTTTTTCCTCATTCCCCTGCCCTCCCTTCAACCCTTCTGCCCCTGCCTACTTACAAAGACTTTGTTTTCCATTTTTTCCTTTCCCTTCTTTCCTTTCCCTTTTCCTTTCCCCTTTGGACCTTTTCTTCCTATTACACATTATCTATTATACATTTTTGTCCTCATTTGCACTTTGTTTCTCACACCAGAGAAATTTTGGTACCTACACATGTGTGTCCTATTTATTTCACTTAAGAGGATGGCCTCGATGTACATCCATTTAGCTATAAATGTCTCTAGTTTCTCATTCTTTTTTTTTTTTTTTTTAGTTTCTCATTATTTATAGCTGAGTAGTACTCCATTTTATTTTTTAAAGAAACACATCTTTATCCAGTCACCACTTGATGGGCACTTGGGCTGTTTCCAAGCTTTAGCTATCACAAACTGTGCTGCTATAAACATGGGTGCACATATATCACTGTGGTATGATGATTTTAATTCTTTTGGGAAGATACCCAGCAGGGGAATAGCTGGGTCAAGTGAGACCTCTAACCCTAGTTTTTTGAGATATCTCCAAACTGATTTCCACAGTAGTTGCACAAGTCTGCACTCCCACCAACAATGGAGAAGAGTTCCGTTTTCCCCACAGCCTTGGCAGCATTTGTTATTTGTTGATTTCTTGATAGCAGCCATTCTTTCTGGGGTGAGGTGGAATCTCAGTGTTGTTTTCATTTCCATCTCTCAGATAATCGATGATGTTGAACATTTTTTCATATGTTTATTTGCTGTTTCTATTTTTGTCTGACAAATGTCTGTTCATTTCAGATGCCCATTTTTGAATTGGGTCTTTAAATTTGGTAGGTCTGATTTTTTTAAGTTCTTTATGTATTCTAGATTGTAGACCCTTGTCTGAGGAACAGCTGGTAAAAATTTTTTCCCACATTGTGGGGTGTCTCTTCATACTGTTGGTGGTTTCCCTTGGTGTGCCAGAAGCTTTTTAATAAGATGAGATCCCAGTTGTTGATTCTTTGTGCTAGTTCCAGTGCGACTGAGATTTTCTTCATAATATATATATATTGAATTGATTACCGCAATCAAGTTAGTCAACACATCCATCACCTCATATAATTACACTGTGTGTGTGTGTGGTGGGGGTGGTGGTGGTGAGAACACTGAAGATCTTGTCTCTCATCCCATTTTAAGAGTCAAATACAGTACAGGAGTCTTATCTATAGTCACCATGCTATACTTTAGATCCCCAAAACTAATCAGTTTTAACTGAATTGTTCTATGTCCTTAGACTTAAAATTGTCCCCACCTCCCTACCCTGTCAATCACCATTCTACAGTCTGAGTTCACTTTTCACCTTCCTTGGATCCCACATGCAGTATCTTTCTCTGACTTATTTCACTGTCATTATGTGCTCAGAGTTTATCCAGGCTATTGCAAATGGCAGGACTTCCTTGTTTATGACTGAATATCCCACTGTGTATATAATTCACATATTATATAGTCATTCTATGAACAGATTCTTAGATTATTTCCATGTCCTGGATATTGTGAATAATGCTGCAATGAACAGGGGAGCTCAGATTTCATTTCTTCTGAGTTTATACCCAGAAATGCTGGTAGTTTTTAGTTTTTGAGCAACCTCCATGCTGTTTTTCGTAATGGCTGTGCCAACTTCCGGTGTCTCCCACAGTGCACAGGGTTCCCTTTTCTCCATGTCCTCAGCAGTGTTTTGTTAGCTTTTTTTTTTTTCATGGTAGCAGGGATCAAACTCAGAACCTTGCGCTTGCAAGGCAGGTGTGGTAGCACTGAGCTAAATCCCCGGCCCTAGCTTTTGGCTTTCGTTGATGTCCTTTCAAACAAATGTGAGATGAAATTTCATTGTGGTTTTGATTTGCAGTACCTTGGTGATTGGGAATGTCAGGCACCTTTTGGCCTTTTGTATGTCTTCTCTGAAAAAGTGTCTATTCAGATCCTTTGCCCACTTCTTAGTTGATTTTTTTTCCATTGAGTTGTATGAGTTGTAGGATATATTCTGGATATTATCTTTTTTTTTTTTTTTTTTTTTGGTACCGGGGATCGAACTAGGGTCTTTGCGCTTGCGTAGCAGGCAGTGAAACCACTGAGCTAAATCCCCGGCCCAAATTTTGTTTGTTTGTTTGTTTGTTTGTTTGTTTGTTTGTTTTGGTACCGGGGATCGAACTCAGGACCTTGCACTTGCGAGGCAGGCGGTGGAACCATTGAGCTAAATCCCCGGCCCTATTCTGGACATTAAACCCTTATCACATAAATGATTTGCAAATATTTTCTCC